ACAATCTTTCTAATTTCTTAAAAAATGTGTAAAGTTTCAAATTTGTTGTCAACATGACAAAAATCCAATTTTTTTTATTTTCTTATTAAAAAAAATTCTTTCAAAAATTGGTCTCAAAAATAGTAAAAAATAGTAATTTTTGTTACAAGTATCTACAATCGAACGAATCGATTTTTATTAGTAACTAATTAAATTAGTAATTTAGTAATCAAATGTACCAAATTAAAATTTCATATTTGTAGCCAACATTACAAAAATAAAAAGAAATAGATTTTATTTGAGAAAAAAATTCTTTGTTAAATTGGGTTCAAACATAACAAAAAAACAAGTTTTTGATGTCAAATTTCATTCTGTTGACATTATAAGTGTAAAATGGCCCTTAGATAATAACCTCATTTTTAATGTTTTGACGTTTCGAAGATCTTGAAAAGTCAATTTGGCGTTAAAGCCTACTTTACAGTGAATTTTCCAAAAATTTTCAAAATTCCAGGTCAGGGTTAAGAATCATTACAATCTTCCTAATCGCTTAAAAAATTTGTAAAATTTCAAATTTTTTGCCAACATGACGACAGAAATCTATTTTTTTTATTTTCTTATTAAAAAAAAATTGTAAAAAACTAGTTTAAATAGTTATTTTTGTTACAAGTAACTAAAATACTGTTTTTGCGGAAGAATCGATTTTTATTGGTTTCAAAAGTAGCAAAAAGCCATACAAATAAGATTATTCAAGGTTGCCAACTTAATTTCGAACTTTGATGGCAAATTTGTTAATTATTACACAAAAAAATAGGACAGTAAAGTCATTCTCTTGACATTATAAATGTAAAATGGCCTTTAGATAGTAACCTCACTTTCAACTTAATGTCACTGATGATCTTGTCATTTTGACGTTTAAAAAAATCACATTTGACGTCAAAGCTCGCTTTATAATAGATTTTCAAAAATTTTGATGCCCCATCTTAGGGGTCAGGTCAGGTCAAGAGTTATTTATAATCTTTCTAATTGCTTAAAAAATGTGCCAAAATAAAATTTCATAGTTTTTGTCAACATGATAAAAAAAATCTTTGTTAAATTGGACTCAAAAAACAAGTTTTTGATGACAAATTTGTGTGACGTGTTAAAGATCTTGAAAAGTCAATTTGACATTAAAGCCTGCTTTACAATGAATTTTTGAATTTTTTTTTTTTTAATTTCAGGTCAGGGTTAAAAATCATTCACAATCTTTCTAATTTCTTTAAAAATGTGTAAAGTTTCAAATTTGTTTCCAACATGACAAAAATCCAAATTTTTTTATTTTCTTATTAAATTGGTCTCTAAAATAGTAAAAAATAGTAATTTTTGTTACAAGTATCAACAATCGAACGAATCGATTTTTATTAGTAACTAATTAAATTAGTTTAGTAATCAAAGGTACCAACATGACAAAAAAAAATTTTTTGTTAAATTGAACTCAAAAACTAGTTTTTGATGACAAATTTCATTCTGTTGACATTATAAGTGTAAAATGGCCCTTAGATAACAACCTCATTTTTAACGTCATTTTGACGTTTTGAAAATCTCGAAAAGTCAATTTGACGTTAAAGCCTGCTTTATTTGTCCAAAATTTAGGGTTAAGAATCATTCACAAGCGCTTAAAAAATGAGTAAAATTTCAAATGTGTTGCCAACATGACGACAAAATTTTTTGAAAAAAAAAATGTGCTACAATACCTGTATTCTGACGCAATGAAGGGCCGGAAATTTGGCCAATTTCTCGATATCATCCCAGGTGGCAAGTCTTGACGAATTCAAATTTAAAAATTTCAAAACTCTGAAACTATCATGTGGCGATTCTTTGGTATTCCCCGATTCACATTCACTTTCCGAACGTTCATAATTCCGATTACATTTTTCATCATTAATCTCAATCTCAATATCAAGCGATTCAATTGGACAATCGGCCAAAACAAGCGATTCTAAATTGGGAAAAGCATAGCCCAATTTACAAATTTCCCTCCATTTATCAACTGGATTTCCATTAAAATGCAATTTACGTATTCCACCATGTTTGTGCTTTTTTCGATAGTCGATTTTCGGACAAAAACACACATTTTCCGCTGTTTTATTATCAATTTGCCCACAATCACAACTTTCCCATAAATTCACATTATTATAATCGTTCATACTCAAATGTAACTCTTCTAAACCGGGCAAATGGTCGAGAATTTGTGAAACACTCTCCCAATCAATAAACGTGGAATTCAAAACTAAATTCCTCAACTGTTGCCAACGCAAATTCCTGTCGACTTCCACGTTCTTCAGGGGTGTATTCAGCTCATTGAAACTCAAATTGACGAATTTCAGACGCGGCATTTGTTGGAGAATTCCAAACACCTAAAAAAAAAATTTTATATACAGGGTGTCGGGAAAAAACTTTGAAACTTGCCGGGAGGTGATTCCTCAAGTTAAAATAAGAAAAAAATTCCCTATGGACATATGTCCGGAAATGCTTCCTAAACGAGTTATTGCGATAATTCGATTATACATGAAAAAACCTCACTAGCTCCCTTAGGAAGCATTTCCCGATATGGGTCCAAAAGGAATTCTTTTCTTATTTTTACCTAAGGAACCACTCCCCGAAATCTTACAAGTTTTTTTTCCGACACCCTATATATTTTCATTTACCTCGGGCCAGTCTTTGAGCTTGTTTTTCGCAAGATCTAATTCTTCAACACAGGCACATTTCGCAACCAAAGCTTCTTTTTCACCAGCTGTTGCAATATCGCAATCGTTTAAAACAAGAAGTGAAGGAACGATACTTCGAGGTGATTTACAAGGCACGAAAATGGCCACCGAGATGCCTTCGTCATCGGAACCTTCAGATTCGGTCGAACTTTCACCGTATTTTTGTTCGAGGGCTTCGAGAAGGGAAGGCATTTTTATGCTGAAAAAAATTGAATTTATCAAAAAAAAATTTGACGACAAAAATACAATCATTTACAGTCATCCTGTATATTAACAAATTAAAAGAAAAATGGAAGAAAAATTTCTATTCAAAGTAACCTGTGAAAAAAGCGTATTGCCAACTTTTGAATATAAAAAATTGCACACTGTCAATTATTACAGCGGGTAACTATAAATGATTGTGTTAAAAAAAAACAATCGGCAACACTGAATTATTAAATCAAAGTAACCAAATCAAATCACAATCGTTTATGGCCAGCCTGTATATAAAAAAAAATAGAAAAAATCAATTAAAAAAAAAAACGTTTAAACTTGTTATTTGAAATCTATCCTTGAAAAAAACGTATTGCCAATCTTGGAATATAAAAAAATTGCACTATAAATGATTGTGACAAACAATCATGTGGCAACACTGAATTAATAACGATTTTTCTAAAATAAGCAATAAGAATATGTTTGAATTTGTTGTCAAAATGACGTCAAAAATCACAATAATTTACAGTCACCCTGTATATTAAAAAAAAATAGAAAAAATTGAAATGTTTAAGTTTGTTGGTTGAAATCTATCCTTAAAAAACATATTGTCCATTTTAGAATATAAAAAATTTCACACTATCGGGTGACTATAAATGATTGTGATAAAAAAAATCAATTGGCAACACTGAATTAATAACGATTTTTCTAAGCTCTAATAAGAAAATATGTGTTAAAAAAATCAGTTGGCAACACTGAATTAATAACCATTTTTCTAAGCTCTAATAAGAAAATAATGTTTGAATTTTATAGTGACAATTGCCAAATTACAATTTCAAATTTGTTGTTAACCTAACGTCAAAAATCACAATTATTTACAGACACCCTGTATATTAAAAAAAAATAAAAAAAATAAACGTCTGAGTTTTTTATATAAAAATTATCTTTGAAAAAAACCGTTCTGTCAAACTTAGAATATAAAAAGTTGTACACTTCTGAGTGACTATAAATATAAATAGTTGTAACAAAAACTCAATTGGTAACACTGAATTATTAATGATTTTCTAATCAGCTGTGAGAATTTTATAGTCAAAGTTGTCAAAATAAGATTTAAAATTTGTTGTCAAGATGATGTCAAAAATTACAATGATTTATGGCCAGCCTGTATATTAAAAAAATTTAAAAAAATAATGAAAAACGTTTGTTATTTGAAATCTCTTTTAAAAAAAACGTATTACCAATTCTAGAATATAAAAAATTGCACACTGCAGGGTGACTATAAATGATTGTGATAAAAAAATCAATTGGCAACACTGAACTAATAACGATTTTTATAAGCTCTAATAAGAATACAATGTTTGAATTTTATAGTCACAGTTGCCAAATTAAAATATCAAACAAACGTCAAAAATCACAATCATTTACAGACACCATGTATATTAAAAAAGTGAAAAAAATTAAACGTCTGTTTTTTATATAAAAATTAGCTTTGAAAAAAAACCGTTCTGTCAAACTTAGAATATAAAAACTTGCACACTACTCAGTGACTATAAATAGTTGTAACAAAAACTCAATTGGCAACACTGAATTATTAATGATTTTCTAATCAGCTGTGAGAATTTTATAGTTAAAGTTGTCAAAATAAGATTTAAAATTTGTTGTCAAGATGATGTTAAAAATTACAATCATTTATGGCCAGCCTGTATATTAAAAAAATGAAAAAAAAAATGAAACGTTTAAGTTTGTTATTTGAAATCTATCCTTAATAAACGTATTGCCAATATTAGAATATAAAAAATTGCACACTACCGGGTGACTATAAATGATTGTGACAAAAAATCTACTGGCAACACTGTACTAATAACGATTTTTCTAGCCTCTAATAAAAATATACTGTTTGTATTTTAAAGTCACAGTTGCCAAATTAAAATTTCAAATTTGTTGTTAAACTAACGTCAAAAATTACAATAATTTACAGTCACTTTGTATATTTAAAAATTCAGAAAAAAAATTGAAACGTTTAAATTTGTTATTTAAAATCTATCCATGAAAAAAAAACATATTGTTGCGTATGTTTCAATAAAAAAAATATTATTATTTCATGAAATTATGAGGCAATTTGAAAAACTGAAACTCCCGACGCGCGTCAGCCAAGTATTGATTAAAGTCTGAAAATCGCCAAATTTCAGGAGTGAAGATTTTTATTTAGTATTTAGAAATTCACAAGTGTATTTTTTGTGAAAGTTTCAGGTCAAAAAAACACAAAGTGGGAGTTTGAAACGTTACAAAATTATTTAAATATATTTTTTTTTTGTTTCGGTACTGTTAGAAACTGTTGTTTTGGGCAAGAAGTGGGCGATCCTGACACAAAATCAGATAATTTCCAATGAAATAATCAATTTTATGACACATTTTTTCTCGTTGCGAAGTTAAAAAAAGCAAATCTGGATTTGGCACAGCGTTGGCATTTTCTTAACCAGCACAACACCAATGTCCAAAAATAAAGCTTGAATAATAATAATCAAATAGGCCACACGTTTCCACTTATCAAATATGTGTGAAGGTCGCTCCGAAATTATAAAAATAATGAAATTTTAATAATAATAAATTTTTATTGTGTTGGACAGACTGGTAGAAACTGGTTTATTATTGTGGAATCGACTTCCTGGTTGCAACATAACGAAATAGAAATTGTTTTTCATTTAAATCGAAATGAGGCGTGAAGTTTGCAACATTACAAATTTTCAACATTTTATTTATTTATTAATTCCACTCACAAATTTTATTAAAACAATTAACAAAAAAAACGCACACTTCAAGGCTATCTAGTCGTGTTTACATAACAAACCGATCGGTTCCGAATTACAACGGTTATAACCGAGCCACCTGCCAAACAAAGAACCACTAAAACGTCGATACCTTGCTGAATAAATCCGTTTCAGATAATTGACATCACTTTTCAGGCGATTAAGAATAATAATCCTAGGATTGGCACTTTTTTTCAGTCGATTTTACGAAAAAAAATTGTATACGTTTCAGGTTTTCAGCACGATTGCGACCACATCACATCACTGCTCCGCGCTGACTGTGTTTTGTTTTTGTGATCAGCTGACGTCCAGCTGATCCAGTGCTAACTCGATTTTCTCCCACTTAATTTACCATGGACATGGTACTCATGGTACAAAATGGAATGTAATTGCGTTTTAATTATGATGGGTTTTCCGCATCAAAGTAGTCGGGATCGATAGATATACAGGGTGAAGCAAAATTCACGCCCAACTACTTTTTATTATGAAAACCACATTTTCAAATAGAAATTTAATCATTTTTTGTGACCCTATAAAATTATTGGCAACACTGAATTATTAATGATTTTCTAATCAGATGTGAGAATTTTATAGTCAAAGTTGTCAAAATAAGATTTAAAATTTGTTGTCAAGATGATGTCAAAAATTACAATCATTTATGGCCAGACTGTATATTAAAAAAATTAAAAAAAAATAATGAAAAACGTTTGTTATTTGAAATCTATCTTTAAAAAAAACGTATTACCAATTTTAGAATATAAAAAATTGCACACTACAGGGTGACTATAAATGATAGATATACATTATAATATATATATTATAAATTAAAAGTCGATGAAACACCCTGTATATTTTGTAAATAGTTACAGGGTGATTCAGCTTAGCCTTTGACTAAATAATACAGATTAACGTAAATATGTATGTGTTTTCAATTGAATTGTATGTTTTTTTTGTAATATGCATAAAAACAAATTCTATTTTTGATGATCTTGGAGTAAAATTAAATCGATGAGACACCCTGTATAAACAATTTTTTGCTTATTTAGCATTGTTTTTAGGCAATAAAAATATAAAAAATGTTTTCCTGGACTAAATTAAAATTTTGTAAAGAGCTACAGATGATCCAGCTAAGCGTTCCACTAAAAAATAAAGTTGAAAATGTATTTTCACGTAAATTTTGAATGTTTTTTTGTAATATGCATATAAACAAATATTTTTTTTAATCTTGAATAAAGTTTTTAAGTAAAAAAATCGATGAGACACCCTGTATAAACAATTTTTATTTTTTTTTGCTTAAATATCACTGTTTTTAAGCAATGAAAATATAAAAACGTTATCTGCGACAAAATTAAAATTTTGTAAATAAAAAATGTATTTTC